AAAACAGGCCACACCAGCAGATGCGTAGCAGTTACATTGCTGGACTCCCACATAGCTGACCACGGTTTGAGTCCTGGACCCGGCAGCTTGAAACTCCTGCTGGCTGCATGTGTGTGCCCAAAATGCTGAGAGGAGAAGGGATTGTGGTATGGCCAAACCCTTGAGGAGTGAGCGATTGCTCACCTCACTTTTTCTGTCTCTCTCTCTCCCATGAGTACACATGCATGACAGCAAACTGAGGGGGAAAAAAAGAAAAAGAAAAAGGAAATAAGAATACGAGCTGATTTCTTATCTCCTCTTTGATTCCCTCTTTTTGTAAGACAAGATTTTTGACTCACAAAGTCTTGCAAAAGAGTTACAGGTACAGGCAGTTCCCCGAGATACTAGACGAATTGAAAGACTTGAGGCAACTGAGAAGACACGACTTACTAGCAGCATGCATGATATTCAGTTACAGACAGAGCACGATTCATTGCCACCAACGTGAATGCGATCTTAGGCTGAATTAATAGAAGTAGGTCTTAAAGAAAGAGGGAGGTGATGGGGCCAGGCAGTGGCATAGTGGTTAAGACAACAGAATCCTGGACCAGCAGGTGGCATGGTGTTAAGGTGCTGGACACCCCGACATGGCTGACCATGGTTCAAGTCTCAGACCAGGAAGCTTGCTTTCTCACTTTCCCCTCTATGTGTGTGTGTGTGTGGGGGGTGTGGGGGGTCAAATTAAAATAAAATGGATGAATAAATAAAATTAAATGATTCTTTCAAAAAAAAAAAAAAAGACAATGGGATCCCACATAGCTAATGGCATGGCTGAGTCTTAGACCCAATGGCTTGAAAATTACACTAGTGTGTTTGTGTGTGTGTGTGTGTGCCCAAAAATCAGGAAGAAGAAACAGAGAAGGGATAGTGATGTGACCACTGCCCACAGAGTGTGTTCTTACTGTCTTTCTCTGTGGCAAGTGCATGTGCCCTCTTGCAAACTAAAGAAAGGAAGGAAGTGAAAGAGAAATAAGGGAGAAAAAAAGAAAAGGAAAGAGGAAAGAAAGGAAGGAAGGAAGGAAGGAAGGAAGGAAGGGTGGGTGAAAGAAGGAAGGAAGGAGGAAGGAAGTAAAAGAAAAAGAAAAGAGAGAGGTGATGTTTTCCCCATTGCTCTGCCCAGCCTCTGTCCTATTCTGGACGATTTAAGAGGGATGTAGGTACATTTTATTGTGTTTCGAGACTTCCTTTCTCTGAGAAAGTGAGAAATCATCCCCCAGGTAGATGGCAATGACGCAATTCCTCCTCCTCCACTCTCGGAATTTTGGACACAAACACAGACACACATACCCTCTGTGATTTTCTCACC